CCTTCAGGTTTGCCCATAGCAGTTCACCCAGACTGTAACTTTCACAGAGAGTTTAAATGGATAGTGCATCTACCATCTTCTCTGAAACTTCTTCAAGGAAAGTAGGAGAAAAATGTAACTGAAGGAAATGACCAAGTAGTAAAAGTAATGTCCTGATAATCTACTACACACTCTGGATAACTAATTGGTTACCTATCAAATAAAGAAGGCAGAAAAATCAAACGTTTATTTAATGCATCAATAAGAGAATCTAGATTTCAGATTTAACCTCTGTTATAGTAACTATAACTATGCCTACATGTCCATGACATTAAAATGTCCAAAGCCATTTTATCAGGTCTTTTTCCTGATATTTTCAGAATTATGGAATTTTTAATACATGATTATACAGCTGTTCAATTTGCAATGCTTATTTAGAGGAAGAGGGAATGGTAAACTTCAGTAACATCCCTTAATTCACAGCATGCATAGTTAGGGATAGCTACATTGTTAACCATCATCATTTCAACATTGATTACACATCTCTTATTTATTGTCAATAGAAGGCAAATGTTGTGTTTGTCTCAAGAATTCAGAAATTATCAAAAGGAATTAGAGCTCCATTTGCCTTTAATATTTGGCTCCAGTTTCTGAATTTTTCCCAGCAAGGGTAAGGGGACAGAAGGGTAGTCCTACTATTTCTGAAGCTTAAACCCCACAGTAGAGTACTTTTAGAACCATCTTGATTCTATTAAAATGTGTAGGTCAAAGGGCAAGCTCAACTAGTCTGATAGTTGTAAGCACCAGGGATAGAAGCACCATTGTAATGACCTAAAGTTGGTAGGATTTCTGTTGCTACCTACTCATTATGCTAGTAATAATGACATGTTCTTCATGCATTAGCAGATAACTAATCACTTGAAAGGTTTTGTATCCACATTTTTCTTTTTCTCTCCCCCCTTTTTGGTAATTAAGGAAAAGACACAGAACAAGAGTGATTTGACAGGAAGAACAGTGAAGTTTTTATTACCTTTTGCATTTTATGTGCTCATGTTACTCCCTCAGGCTCATGGGAAACAAAGTCAGAATGTGCTACACTAGCAAGTCTCATTTTTCTGTGGATAATCTTCAGTTAGGAAAGCTCTGAGTCAATGATTAACCCTTATTAAGTTTCAATTTCTTTAAAATATCCTTAGCAATAGTTCTAGATCTCAAGCCATTGACTCTGTTTACAAAGGAATTGCTTTTTGTATTTTTTATTTCCTTTATTTTTGAGTCTTTCCGTTTTCTTCAATGTATGTGTATTATCTTTATCAGAAAATATATTTTTATAAAGAAATAATTATATTAAATAGGTTAAAATAAGAATCTTTTCACAATTTTTTTTTCTAATTTGAATTCCTTTACCTCTGAAAAGTAGCATTCTTAACAAAAATTTTTAGTCTAGATATGTTTGAGTGTCCTGTGTAAAACTTAACCATGTAGATTCAACTATACTACATGGTCCTTTTAATGAAGTATATTAGGAAATTAACAATTTTCTTATTTCCCATGAGCTATGACTTCTAGTGTTTATTTTCACATCCTTACTGATCTTCCAGAATGTTTTTAAGATATTTTTCTTTCTGATAGTGTTACCAAACGAGGCCTCTTGTTCTTACTGCACAGTATGCTAATCACCAAAAGGACAAGATTTGTAAAACAGAAAGAGTTTATTCATGAGCTGACCAAATGTGAGAAGCCAGGAGCCCCAACTCTCAAATCTGCCTCCGCAAGGATAGGGTTTAAGTTATCTGTGGGACACAGGGTATTCTGAGGTATGGGGAAAGGTGATTGGAGATAAGGAAAGGTGGTCTCTGCTTGCATAATCAACCATCTTAGTTCTTCATAGGAGGTATGTTTAGAAAATGACTGTATTACCATTCCCTGAAGGGGGAATTTGGGGCCCTCTGAAGTCATAAGGTCACACATTGAACACTTGCACAGACCTAAGTGAAGAGTAGTGATTTCAACTGGTTTGAGGTACCCTAGAAAACAACATAGGTAACTATCACCATCATAACCCATATATTAGATGTGTTATTTATAGCAAAGCTAACAGGAGTCTATTTCTTGGTTGTGTGACCTCTAAAATTGACAATAAAAGTAAATTAACTAAAAAAAAAAGCGAAGCTACAAGGTTTATTCAGGTTTTCCCTTGGTTTCAGTGGTATTAATTTCAGATTTACCAAAATTATAACCAAGAAAACAATTTTAATAAATTCCATCCTTTTCCAAAAATAAAAGGAAAGCCTAAAAGAGATATTGACATTATCCAAAATTGATATGACATGTATAGCACATAATCAAAACACTTTATTCTCTTAACTGTGAGTTACCTTTCTTAGACATATACAATTGTAGAAATCCATATCAACATACAGTTTTCAATTGAAAAGAGTATGATCATGTGCTAGGAAATTTTTAGAGGATGAGAATTCATGGGTATAGTGAGGAAAAGCTTGATTCTGTGCAGTATACGGCATAATTATCATTCCAGCATAAATAGCATCAATGACATAATAAAATCTATTTGAATTATATTATAGAAACAGTTTCATCTTATTAGAAAATCATTATTCCAGGGGCTTGGACTCCTGTGGTAGGTACATCCTTTACAATTTTGAAATTTGAAATGTAAATAATCACCTGTTATATCATATTATATATCATATTCTTGGAAATTTGACATTTGCCCCAGAGATTAACTGTACCGTAGTATATATTAGCTAGCCAAGCATATCATATGAAAGAATTTAGAATTTAATAAAGATGCTTCAACAATATACAATTAATTCTAATATTTCATATTATGATACTTTCCTTAAACACAAAGTAGTAACTCAAATGCTATCACTTTCATATTTGGCATTTATTAAAAGTGTTGATTACTCAACCTAGATATCTAGATTTAGATAGAATGAAATTTTTCATTCATCTTTTGCTGTTTGCCTGCTACTAAGTGTGTGATTCTGACTCCTAGTGCAAAGAAATGCAGCGCCCTTTTTGAGAAAGCACTCTTTTCATTTCAACTTTGTCAGTCTTTGAGCTTCCCAAAAGGGAACAGATGACAGCAAGTAACAGGAAACTGCATAGTTAGACCATCTTGAACTCCTTCACCTTTACGCTCATTTCACCACTTAACATATTTTTTTCAAGTGGCCATTGGCTATATTTAGACTGTCATTATCCCTCTGGTGTTGACTGGAGCCTCCTGGTTTAAGCCATCTGCCTTTCTTAGAATTACATAGTGTGGGGACAGTGGAAAGTGATACTGGGATCCATGAGGATCTTCTTTTCCAACAGCAAATACTACTTAAACAAATCTTCATTTCCATGATGTAAGCTCATTATATCCTCCATTTGTTAGTATTACTTATTCAGAGTTCTGAACATCAACCCATCCAGAATAAAGAATATCCCTTAGAATATTCAAATGATAGTCTTCCAGTTTGTGGCTTAACTAAAACTCTTCCATATGACTGCTATTGAAGTTCAATTATCTTAACAAAAGACAGAAACAGAGTTAAGCTTGGGCAGTACATTCTCAGATTCAGCATTTCCTCGGGTCAAAGGCTCAGGCCACTTATATAGTTCTTGTAAATCAAATCTCTCTTTTTACATAAAAGATGAACTACTGAAGAATGCATTTTGGACTGTGAGACTAAATTGTTCACCAACTTTATTCTGATTATTTCGTAAGTTTCTTATATCCACCTCACTACTAAATCTACTCCTTTTCCTTCTGGACATGAACCACAAGTAGTTAGCTAAACCACAAGGAATCTGTGAAGTTTAAATTACTATTTGAAAGTGTGTGGATCATTGCCAATAAAGTCACAACTCTAAACTTATTGCATTAATGAGATAAAAAGAATTACCAATCTCTAGAATGCCCCAAGAATATAGGCTGTGTTTCTAAATTCACTTTACTAAGGTTAACAATTTGTTATATATTCTATACATGAAAATGTTTTCAGTGTCAAAGTTAATGTCTTAGTTTGCCTGGAAGCTACACATACTTATCAAAAAATGGGTTAGGGTTACATGGATGAAACAGAGGAGACAGGACTACTCTTACTAAACAAAAAAAAAGTCACTAACTTTATTTTTCAAGTTTAAACATAGTTATATCTAGAAACTCTTTTTTTTTCTTTTTTAATGAAATACTAAGTTGTTACTATTTTTTAAAATATTTTTAGTTATAGATGGATGCAATATCTTTGTTTATTCATTTTTATGTGGTGCTGAGGATCAAACCCAGGGCCTCATATGTACAAGGCAAGTGCTCTGCCATTGAGCCACAACCCCAGCTCCCTAAGTTATTATTATTAGGCTGGCAATTTAGCTCAGTGATAGAACACTTGCCTAGCATATGCCAGGCCCTGGGTGTGATTCTCCAGCACAAAAGGAAAACTATGTATGTAGTTTTTCCAAAGATTAAACATTTAAAAATTTTTGATTTTTATGATAAGAGTATTTAACCTGGATCCACGCTGTTAAATTTTTAAATGTACAAAACAGTATGTTGTTAACTACAAGAAAAATGTTGTACAGCAGGTCTCTGAGAATTGTGATCCTGCAAAATTGAGAAATTATGCCTTGATTCACAATTCTCTATTTCTCCCTTCCTTTAGCCCCTGATAATCTCTATGGTACATTCTAGGATTCCATGAGTTTGACAATTATAGATAACCTCATGTAAGTGAAATCATGCAATATTTCTCCTTCTATGACTGGATTATTTCATTTAATATTATGTAAGAATCCTTGAATTAATATAGCAATATAACAAGATAAAACATTTAGAATCAGAAAAACCTGAATTGGGTTTCCTACTGTACCATATACCCAAGTATGAACTTGGGCAAACTACATAAACTCTCCAAGCCTTGGTTTTATCATACATAAAATGAGGGTAATGATAACTTCAAAGAATTGTTACAAGGGTTAAATGAAAATGCATTTTCTTTCTTTTTCAGGCAAGAAGCTCTTCTGGCTGCCATTAGTGAGAAAGATGCCAATATAGCTCTTTTAGAACTTTCGTCCTCTAAGAAAAAGACCCAAGAGGAAGTGGCTGCACTTAAACGTGAGAAGGATCGCCTGGTACAGCAGCTCAAACAGCAGGTATTAGTAATGTCAGGGGCCCAGGGAGGGGACCAGGAGACCAGCTTTCACACCATTTTCTCCACATTTGTCTTGCCAGTGTATACTTTAGGGTCTTGTATTTCATATTAGACATCTGACAATGGTATTCAGTTAATTTTCATAATTAGAGATTTTGACTTTCACAAGAGTATTATTGGTAACAGGGCTGGTTTAGAAGATGTCATAAGTCTTCCATGAGAACATTTCTTAATTTTATACTATGGCTGGTAGAAATAAGTGAAATTCTACCCATTTGAATTTCTTATATCCAACTGTGTTCTTATTACAAAGGCATTTAACTATGTTTTTACTAAGAGATTTCTTGTTATTCAGGGTTGAATAGTGTTTGAAGGTATGAATAGAGTTTTGCCCTTTTCTTTCCAACCTTAAAACCCTCCAAAATTTAATACTTACTATATTTCATAGGCCCATACACTTTATATGGTTAAAATGGTAATGTTAGGTATATTTTATCACAGTTATAAAATGGGGGAAAGATTGTCCTTTTGAAAATAATGAGAAAGCTGAGTTTTCAAATCTAGTTCCCTGCTTTAATATCTTCACTGACTAGTCCTGTACAATTTGCAGTATCAACAATCCTGTCTTCTTATGTCATATCCTACATTCTCAGTCACATTTTCTATACATTTTGGCTTCTTAAATATACTCTTCTGCCCTGAGTAATTGGACTGGGAAAGAACTTTTAAAATAAAGAATGTCTTCTTTTCTATATAGAGAGATCAGTCAGCAATTGGTAGTACCTTGGCATAATACTTAATGTTTAAATTTATAAGTATTTGTACAATAAAGGTATTTTTGTAGATAAATATTAGAACTGATTATTAAAAGAGTTTATATTGTCAGGCGCTGTGGCGCATGCCTGTAATCCCAGCAGCTCAGGAGGTTGAGGCAGGATGATTGCAAGTTCAAAGCCAGCCTCAGCAAAAGGGAGGTGCCAAGCAACTCAGTAAGATCCTGTCTCTAAATAAAATATGAACTAGGGCTTGGGATGTGGCTCAGTGGTCAATTGCCGCTGTGTTCAATGCCTGGTACTCTCCCCCAAAAAAATTTATTTATGTAGCTGATTTGGCTGAGGAAAAATACCAAAATATATCCCTTCTCTATAGGAGAAATAATAGACCAGCAGAAAAGCAATCCATTGCTCATTTACAAGAGAAAGAAAACTTTTCTAGTGTCCTATAATAATGTTTAGCAAGATGAGAACATCATCATCTCATATTTTTAATGCTTATTAAGTAAAATAGGAAGAATGTGTTATTACTAATAATAATATTTCTTATTATTATTATAATTATTACTAACATCTGTCTAGTAGTTGAAAACTGAAAATTGACTGTCCAAAGCTGATTAATATGAAAATACTATGATTTAAGAAAGTTCACTTGATTTTGAGTTTATAAATTTAACAATATCATACTACTTAACTTTTTTAAGCCTAAATTATATAAGCATATAATCTGAGTAGTGTTGGTCCTTCACGCTAGCATGTCAAATAGAATAGAATGCCTAGCAGATCAGAACATTGTATCTCATTCACAGGGGACTTCTGATTACTTGTCTCTCCTGTTTTTGGAGATGAAAATTAGGGGCTGGGGCTGGGGCTCAGTGGTGGAGCACTTGCCTAGCATGTGTAAGACACTAGGTTCGATTCTCAGCACCACATATAAATAAATGGATAAAGTAAAGGTCAGTCAACACCTAAAATTTTTTTAATTAAGGAAATTAATCTTTGATTTTAACATAGAAAGGAGTAAAGATTCTCACAGGCTGGAGATGTGACTCAGGGGAAAAGAGCCTGCCTAGCATGCAGAAGTCCCTAACTTTGATCCTTAGCATAGCAAAAAGAAAAAAAAAATGCAGTGTCTTTTTCTAACTGTATGCCCTGAATGTTTTATAGTTCTTAGGATTTCTTCCTATGGTCATTTTATCTCTCAAAAATGGGATGCTATGAGCGAGAAGGAAGGAGTCATGCCAAAGGCATTTAATTCTTTAAAGACATTTAGTTCTTTAATTCTTCTAAGTGTGTGTACTAACTTTTGGACAAAGGAGAGGCCTTTTGGAAAGAGGATATGGCATCAATGTTGTTTTAATTTAAAGCTTCTTGTTCTTGAATTGCTGGAATGTGCCACAATCTAAAGACTATTTCCTAACAGAGAAGCAGTCAGCATTGACCAGGCTTCCAGTAAATAGAGCTGCCACTGCCCTAAGAAGTTCTTGGCATTCATGAGTGATTCCTATCCTCAAAAAGAGGTAAAGCAATAGGGACATACAGATTTGGGGGTTATCCCTAATGTATTCCCAATTACTCACACCCAGGGTGACTTATCTCCTTGACTCATTCATGGCAAAGCAATACTTGGAGAGCCTGCATCAGAGGAAAGGGCCAGGGCTGATGAAAAAAAAAAAAAAACCTGAAGGTTGTCTAATAAATTCCAGATGTGATGTGGTGGGTGCCAACCTATGTGTTCAGACTGTAAGTCATGAAGAAGCCCTCTCTGTGATTGTCAGGCACCCACTCTAGATTTCATATAAACTCAATATAGAATCCTGTAAAGTATTAATACAGTCTGTTTAACCACAGCACAGTGATTGTCACAATATGGCCTTTCTCTCAGTTTTGTATTCTTTCTTCTTGTTATTACTGGGGATTGAACCGTGAGGTGCTTTATCACTGAGCCACATCAACATCCCTTTTCATTTTTTACTTTGAGGCAGGGTCTCACTAAGTTGCTTAGGGTCTTGCTAAGTTGCTGAGGCTAGCCTTGAACTCTCAATTCTCCAGTCTCTACCTCTCAAGTTGCTGGGATTTCAGGTGTGCACCACCATGCCTAACTGTGTTCTTTTAACCTCCAAATACTCCATTGCAAAAATGGAGCATGCTGAATTTGATTATAAATTTATATCTACTAGTTAATTTAGTTTTTCTTTGTGTTTCTATAATAGTAATTATCTTTTTTATTTTAGATTAAAGGACTCTCTTTCCTGTAAGGCCAGACTAGTGGTGACAGAGTCCCATAGCTTTTGCTTATCTGGAAAGGACTTCATTTCACCCCCTCTTTCTTCTTTATTTATTCTTTCCTAAGGATGGCTTTACTGGGTATAATATTCTGGGATGAGACTTTTTTTTTCCTTTCAATACTATGAATATATCAGACCCTTCTCTCCTGAACTGCAGGGTTTCTGCTGAGAAATATGCTAGTAACCTAACATGGATTCACTTTTAAGTGATCTCTTTCTTCTTGCTATTTTTAGAATTGTCTTTGACCTTTATGTGGGGGGAGTGCTTTGCAGGTTACCAGGAGTTGAACCCAGAGGTGTTTATAACCACTGAAACACATCTCCAGCCCTTTTTATTTTTTTATTTTTGAGACAGGGTCTCACTAAGTTGCTTAGGGCCTCACTAAATTACTGAAGCTGGCCTTGAATTTGTGATCTTCCTACCTCAGCCTCCCAAGCCACTGGGACTATAGGCACATGTCACCATGCCCAACTATTATTAAACAGGCCTTTTATTTGCCTTTCTCCATCTCTTCTTCCTCTGGACTACCTGTACTGTGATTATTTATTATTTTACTGTTTTCTCACATATTACAGAGCTGGCCTTTGGCTCAGTAGATATGTATCAGGTTATCTTTCCCTCCTCATGGCATTGGTGGCTACTTATCTCTCTTAGTAGCATGGTCTGCTAAGTATGATGTTGTAATTGAAAAGATACTCTATCATAACTACTCAAAGCACTTGGAACTTACCAAATAAATCATCCTTTGGAGTAAAATTTCTCATCCTTATCTATTATTACAAAGGAGAATTTTTTTGAAAGTTCATTGAATTCCCTTTGATTGAAAATGAGAATTATAACAACCCAACAAAATATTGTCATTTGTTCCCAAATTCTAGTTTTAAATCACAACTTATATGAAAGAAAAAGCAATTTGAATATTGATTCTTCCCTAAGCCAACCCCAATTTTTTTTACTTGTTTGAAATGAGTCCTCCTTTACCTATCTTGAAGTTTCAAGTAAAGAATGTAAATCTGTTTTGTATATGAATAATGTGATTTTTTTCTTACTAAGTTTTGAGATGAAATTGCTTAACATTTAGAACAAAAGTATGGGTTCTATACATTAAAGAGAGAGAGGGAGAGAAAAGCTTTGATTTGGTTTTCAAATTCTTAGACATAGGCCCTGATCCACCTATTGGAACAACTTTCAGGGCAACTAATTTGGAGCACAACAAATCATTGGATTCTTACCTGTCAAATCTATTATTGGCTCATGGTAGTGCATATAAATTGTTTCTGAACAAAGCTAAAATAGTATGAGGACATACTAATTGTCTACTAAAGTGAACCACGTTTGATGAAAGTTAACATTTTGGATTTATCATTCTCTTTTTCTATGAAGAAAAATCATTGTATGAAAAATTCTTGTAGCTAGCGAAGAAAATATTTCCATAGACTACTTATTTAAAGTCTTTTCATTATGAATGAATTTTTGAGGGAAGTTTCTTTCCAACAAGAATAAGGAGACTTAGCCTTTAAGAATATATATGTAATTTATAATCTTGAGTTGCCATAATTTTGTATTGTTTTAGAAATGACAAGAAAAAAAATTTCTGTACTTTCTATCCACAGTTGATTGACTCCACAGATGAGGAACCCATGGATATGGAGGGCCAACTGTTTTGGGTTTTTTTAATGGTGTCCACAGATTTTGTTTTTATCTTATCAGTACTCCTTACACAATTTAGTATGACCTCTGTTGACACTGTATTAGGTATTATTAGTAATCTAGAGACGATTTAAAGTGTACAATACAATGCAGGTAGATATATGCAATGCTACACCATTTATATAAGGGACTTGAGTATCCTCAGATTCTGGTGTCTTGTGGGGGGATTCTGGAAATGACTATATATCATAAAGAGCAATTATTTTCAATCTAAATATGTACTAACTTA